GAGTGATTCAGTTATTGAATTAGTTATTCAGTGATCACAAAGCTAGTTAGTGAACATGTTTGTTATTGATCGATAAGCGAGTTAGTTTTGTGGGTAGGTGACTTGAGCTTTATTTGCGAGTTACATGTACCTTAATTTTACAATTTTCTGTTGAAATGTTGTTTGTGAACTTAGGCCTACCAGTATACGTAGCCTGTATAGAAAGTGATTGAAGAAATAAATTAATTCTTTGTCATTAAGCTGTTTGGACTTCACATTAGTTTTACCAAAAAAAAACATAAAAAGTCCACCATACAATGGAACAAGTTACAAACAGAAGTGGGATGGTTTTAATGTAAATGAAATATAATTTTGACTAAACTTCAAGATGGCAACGTGAACACGAAGCGAGATCGAAAATTTGTCATAGATGATGAAAAGGTAGGAAAAAAAGCAAACAGAAAAACAAACAAAACAGAGCGTAAAAAATGATCAAGAGGAAAAAGACAGGAAATTAAAAGAAGACCAAGAAGAGAAAGACGAGAATTTAAAAGAGCAGTTATGAAAAAGAGACACGATATATAAAGAATATATAAGAACGGAAATGAATATAGGCCCCAAAAGTGAACGTAACCTTTAACATGTATAGGATGTGATTGAACAAATAAATCAATTTGTTATCAATGTTTATATTATCATCCATCAAAACGCAATGACTTTACTACCTAAACGTGTAACATGTAATTGAAATTTATATTATAAATTTGTTCGTTGTGAAGCACCTAGCTACAACATGGGCTACTTGTACTGTATTCACCACGGGAGCCCCCCAGTGGCACAGCGGTATGTCTGCCGACTTATAACGCTAGAAACCGGCTTTCGATACCCGTGGCGAGCAGAGCACAGATAGCCCATTGTGTGGCTTTGTGCATAACTTACAACAAACAAACCACTACGGGAATCGAAACCCAGTTCTTATATATTATAAAAAAACACGTAGCATGTAACAATTTACAAAATTACAAATTCGTACTTCCAAACCCTTTCAGACTTACTACTGGGCCACCGGAGTCATAATAAATAATGAATCAACTAGTAAATTTTATTTAATATGATTTTTTATTAGATTCGTGTATTATAATAAAGAAGTGGTAGTATTCTGTTTCTTGTTTTGTAAATGATTTATAGCACATAATGTAATCTATCCTTCTTCCCGCGTATTTCAGCAATGTGTAACCGTGAGCGCACTACTTTGAAACAGGAATAACAGGCGATGAAAACAATACCATGTTTAAGCTCTTTCGGATATTTTTTCAGAAGTATTGAGCCAATTTTGACAAGATATATAGCATGGCATACTGAAAACCGCCATTTGAATTAAGTAATAACATCAGTACGTATCAACAGATGATGCATTCTTAATAAAAAAAGCATTCTTCATAGTTGTCTTCAATAACACTGGTCAGACAAAATGTGCTAATGTTTATCCGATGACGTGACATCACGTCGTAGTAGATCAATAAATAACGAATTATCCCAAAAATTGTCTACACAGGTAATACATTGTGAGACGATACCTAGGTAGCACAATTAAGAAGAGAGTTTTTCTTTTCATCATTGAAAGTTCACATTTTATGACAAAAAGTCCACAACTAAAAAAAGATTTGGTTTGTTTTGAATTTCGAGCAAACCTACACGAGGGTCATCTGCACCAGCCGTCCCTAATTTAATAGTGAAAGACTAGAGAGAAAGCAGCTAGTCATCACCAGCTTTTGGACTACTATTTTACCAACGAATAGTGGAATTGAGCGTAACATTATAACGCCCCCACAGCTGAAAGGGGGAGCATGTTTAGTAGAACGGGGATTCAAACCCGCGACCATCGGACACTTGGTCATGCCGGGTCACAAGAGAAGAAATCTGTGGAACACTACTCTAATTTGAATGATGCTGTTTAAAGATATAAGTGGAAAAGCTACAAACTGATAGGATATTATTGATAGTCCCTTATAGTATTCACGATGGGTGAGAAAGCAACACCCCAAATACCAAAGTGCAGTGTATGGTTTTAAAATATCAAGAAAACCTAAACATTGGCTTTTAGCACAAGTTGGGCCGCTGTCTTTAACATGTGGGAAAAATATCGATATACTCACGACGCTAGGCAGCTTTAATGGTGCAAAATAAAATAAAAAATACGAGCTTGATCGTCACGGCTATTAGGAAACTAAATATTTCAGTGGCTAAGGAAGCGGGGAGCCAGACCCCCCCCCACTTTTCAATCTATTCCAGTAAAAATGCATCAAAATTAAGAAAGCTATTCTCAAGAAAAGCGGGAGAATGCGTAAAATTTAATTCAGCACCTAATACTTCCAGGGCCTTAAGGCGACCATTGGACCCCTCCCATAGTGGGTGCGCTTATAGCGCACATTCCCTCGCTTCGTTCGGTCAAACATACATTGCCCCCTCCCTCCCCCCTTTTATTTTGCTTCCTACACTTATGTCTTTATAAACTCATATTTTTTTTCAATTCTAAATGTACTTATCAGTTATATTAAACTTTGATTTGATAATAATTAAGTATCCTGTATTGCCTGATATATTTGTAGGTGCTCCTTTTCAAAACAAGAGCATATATCACAAGGATTTGTCACGTGAAAATCAAACAGTATGACTGTATTTATGCTAACTTATCAGTTATAATGTTATAAATATTACACATTTAGATTCTGCTTTATTGAAGCTAATGTCTAGCGCACCTGTACAATAACAAATCAGTTTATACACAAAATGAACTTAAGTTTGGTTATGTCATACACAACCAAAAGTTAAGATAGCTACCAAGTTGAAGAAGCACTTGTTCGATCTGTCAATTTGCTATTTAACCGTCTATCTACTTATATTTTAAAACACTTTTTTAAAAACACAAGTTAAATCTATAAATAAGAAATATTAACTCATGACCTTGATATCACTGAATATAGGGTTTCGATTATAATTTTATGCTTAATATTATTTATTAAGCTTTAGACTAAATTAAGACATTGTAAAAGTTTCCGAAATTCAACTTCACTATATTAAAACCTACGATTAAGTTTAAACTTAGCCTTAAAATCCAATCAGAATTCCACTGTTTAATATATCAGATTTTTACTACCTGTGACAAAGTGCTCATCCCAAATTCTATAAATCGTTTAATTACGTTGATCCACAGTATTGTTTTGATAAGAGTTTTAGTAAGCCTGTGAAAATATAATTCATAGTAGGTCAGCCACCGTATTTTTCCTATAAGTATCACGGCTAAAAGTGATGAGCACGTGATTACAACGTATCACGAGAGGAATGTATTAGGTCGTCAAGAAATTAATGTTGCTGATGGTGTCATATATGGAGAATATGGTGGGTGGGAGAACTTTCCAACCCAACTCCATAATCTTGTGTTGCGTCAAAGTGTCACATGTGGACATGCATAAGAAGAACACTATTTCGACTGATGAATGATTGGGTTTGACTTAAACGTTTTAGTTGCTGTCTATAGATCTCTGCATTGTAACGAATTTGATATTATATATTTATTTTAATATCAATATTTGTTTGGATTAAGTTTATATTTTAAAACATGCTTAGCTTATAGTGTTAAATATGTATTGCGAAACTTCCGCTTATTCTCCAAAGTTGTAGAAGATTCGCGAGAGTAAGAATCAATAATATATCTATATATGCAATCTTTTAAATATAGCTCAGTATTGTTATGTAATTTGAATTTTCTAGAAAACCTTCCCACGCCTATAAATACAACCAACGCGACGCTATGGTCAGTGTGCTATAAACTTCGAAAGCTATAACTGTGATTGTTATAACGCTTATCAATTGGAAAACTTCAGATATTTGACCAGGAACCTTTACAAAATTCGAACATTACAAATTACTTAAATTCAGTGGATTCTCATCGAACATTAGTATTTTGACGAAAACATTACCTAACTTCAACAGTGGAAAACCTAGCGTGTGTGGCCAAGGACAAAGCTAGCTAGCTTCCAGCGAATCCTATTTACATCAACTCGTAATTAACTCGCCCATAGTAAACCTTCGATAAGATATTAAGGGAGTTCCAAACTAGAAAGAAGATTTTATATTGTTTGT